AATAGCTTATGTAAAAGTTATTTCCTTCACTCATATGGGAAACGATTCTGTCTTTATTAAGAGTATAACTCAAAATGTAACATAAGATAAATACTAGTTTAAGAAAAGCAAATTAAAGCAATATTTCAGTGAATATACAATTTTTCCAAGTCACCCATCATCAGTATTTCCTTATAATAACAGCTTCAGCCCCTGCAAATATGCATTTAACTACACTTCCTTCCTGTTCTGTCTTTAGACTTTCTCTTTCAATGAATGTATCTTCACTGGTTTTCCTTTTTAAGAAATGTGTGCATTTCTGAGCAATTCTTGTGAAGAAATGATATACTGACATCTGACTGTTATGACAGATAATTATGAGTAAACACTGATAGTTGGCTATCAAAGGAAAGTAAATGTCATTTGAAATTGCAATAACTTAGCATGTCAAAACAATCGCTGATTTGTTCTAAACAGTGTGACTAAACCCACACAACTTGTCATTCCATGCAGGGAGTTTGTATAATAAAAAACCTCAGTGTTTAGTTGTATAATTTGCACAACATACGTTGAGTGCTTTACATTTAAACAATGAGTGAATTAGTGTGCAAAACTTTGCAGCAGTTCTAAAGCGATCTGTTTATGTCAAGTTCAAAATGCATACACACACAAACATTTCCAGGACAACAGGACAAATAAAATCATCCATCTCTTGCATAACTGAATGATGTCTTTCATGAGAGAGAGGGGATAGAGAGAAAGAGAGAGAGAGGGTGAATAGGGTTAGGAATGCTGACAACCACAAAAAGAAAGACGGACGTTCCCTGCCAAAATGTGAAGTCTCATTATCCATGTAATCATTAAATTATCTCCTTAACAACAACCTTGAATGTTTTCAGTCAAAAGTATCAGTTAAATTTAATGCATTTTCATAATAAAAAATGCTCCTATTACACTATTGGACATCTGTAAATGATCAGAGTAAATACAACTATTGACCTAGAATGCAAATTTCTCTTACCTGACATTATGTAAATACTACAACAAACTTACGAAATTATAAAGCGAGCACATGCACGGTTGAGTTCAGTGTGACAGATCTGTCTATGATATTTAGTGTTGATCATACAAACCAAAACTAGACCAAACACAGAACAGAAACAGCATTTAAATGTGTCATTTAAAGTTCCACAAATCTATAAACTACAAAAAGAAAAGCCAAAAATAAAAATCACATTGCATTCGGCAAAATGTAAGCACTGGTTTATTTAAGCCATCAGGAACACTTTTCTAGTAAATTTAACTGACTGCTAACACATGTGTTCGCTTAATAAACCCAATGCTCCAGCACAAACCACACTCATTACCCAGAATCCACTGCATACAGTGTGTGCAGACACAAATCAAGACCCCTTATAGCTTCCTCAAGGATACAGGCCTTTAACTGTTAGCCTAAAGTTCAGTTTGAGAACATCCGCAGACCCGGATCTGTTACTGCACTAAAATTATTAATTTATTAGAACTGTTAATGGGACACACCTCTTATTTTTTGACTGTTTGCAAAACAGTTGTGATCGTTGACCTTTCCAAACCTGTGGTTTCAGTTTCAACTGTTTTTTTTTTTTTTTTTTGATACACCTGAACCTGAACATTCAGAGTGGAGATGATTATGTCGTCCTGCCACTTTTTTCCATCTCATCCTTACATAGTTTTTGGCTTTATTTTAGTACTAAATTAAGTTTATGTCAGTCATTTTGATTTTACTGTAGATATAAAGAAAGATGTAGCGACTGAAAGCAATGTTAGTATGCTGTGGACTTAAAATTGGACTGAACCTACCAGGAAGTTTGGAATAAAAGTAAGAACAGGAGCTTAAGTGTAGGATGACTGTCCTAACGCATTTAAAAAAACAATCAAAATTAAAACAAAATGGTGTCACAACAACAACAAAACATAACATATTATAAGAGATATTCTTACTATCTTCATAGTGTTGCAAATAATGTTTATGCATTACAAATCTATGGAAAATTCTGTTCTCAAAACACAATCTGAGCACCTCTGACGGTCCCTAAAAATGACTGGACACTGCCACTGATGGTTCTAGTGCTGCTTAATAGAGTACATTCTGAGCCATGGTCTTTGCAGTGACATTAACAACTCTGTATTTCATATTAGTTAATGAAAATGAAAAGCATGAAGTTATGTTAAGGCCGGGGGCAGGGTTGGGGGGGATTGGGGTCAAAACTTCACTTATGCTATAGATTTATTAACCATCATATAATTGTTTTGGCAGGTGATAAACAATGTAGAAGAGCAGGAGACTCAGCTTAGACTGAAACCTTAAAGCGCCAACGATCACAACTTAAAAACAAAACCTTGTTTTCTTATCAAACTATGGTATATGGTAACAACGTATTGTTTATTTTTACAATAAAGCAGATTTGCAATCTATTATATCATTTTGACTTTACTGACAATTCTGACACTATCAGTATATGGTCAAAATAATGCAGTCTCTGATGGTAAAGCTGTGTAAACAAATTCAAGCTCCTCTAACACAGACAACACCTGCCAGTCTAAAAAACTGTGAAATGTGATTTTATAGTTTTGTGAATTACTAAACAACAACATTTGTTGGGAGGGCTAAAATCTTGGAATCACATAACTATTTCCCTAGGAGCAAATAAAAACATTCCTGTCATATCATGCAGAGTCTGTAAGACAGCACAATTCACTCATTGTCCTGTAACACTGACAGCCTTTTGTGTGAAAGTCTTTTTTAACTGCTGAAGGCATGTATCCCTCTGCTTTATTAGAGTCATTACTAAATCTATAGACCTATAAGACTCTGGAACTAACTTGCAGTCAAAAAGGACATGACACAAGAAAGAAGGGGTTGTCTCTTGTGCCAAATCTCTGCCAAAACACAGTTTGAGGAAAATACAGAGGACTGAGAACAGAAAGAGTGGGGAATATGGCAAGCCAAGTTAACATGTATTCCTTAAAACTATATTTGTTTTGTCTATTTTTAACTTACTAGTAGGGGTGTGACGAGATCTCGTGCCACGAGATCTCGCGAGACTAAATATGACGAGATTTCTCGTCGAGTGAAAAAGCTGTCTCGCGATATCCCCATTAATATTCCACCGCTACACTCACATTCGCCTAAACTATCGTTTTGTTGTTTTTATAAAAAAATAAAAACCATTATAAACTAATGCAAAAGTCTGCTCTGCTCATCCAGCGCGAGTTGCCGTTGCAATCAGTGCAGCACGAATCACAGTTCACTGATCGCGTGACGATGGCGGAGGATTCGTTGCGCAACAGACTAAACGTCTGGTAAATGTCTTATCATTTAGAATGCGCGCTCAGCACCGCTGCTCCCTATACGCGCGGTCACGAATTTGTAAGTGAAAGTAAAACACAAGCTCCCTGATGTGCATTGCGCACAAATTAGGCTGCATACATAAAATAATCCGTCTCCCAATACCCATCTCTGGACTGTTTATTTGCGGCTCTGGTCTCTGTTGGCACTGCGAATATTGAGAGAGCACTGTAACGTACAAAGGACAACAGACAAGGGAGGCTCCGTTTCTGAACTTATAATCGGAACGCAAGAACAACTGTAGAGACAAACAGCCTCGTTTCTCTCGGCCTTTTCCGAACTCACCGCATTAACCCTATAACTGCCGGTGCAAAATAAAACCGCAATTTCACAACAATTATAAAGAGTCTGTGTGCTAACTTTGATTATGGTTGCACTCGCACTTATTGTTTGCACTTAATAAGACTAAGAGAAAACAGTTATTTATTTTTGTTATTTATACGGTTTTTATTTCTCTGTTAAATGTGTGTTAAAAGGAGTTCAGTTAGGAGGTCACACACAGCCTCAATCAGAAGTTCTGAAAGCTCTTAAATGTACAGTAAGGTCTGAAGAGACTAATGTGAAATTATACAGGAGAAAAGCCAGTCAATGAAAACCTTTTACAGTGCTTGAATATTGTTTTCTTTCAATGCATTTGATAATTCATACTCATAAAGTAGACCTGAAATGACATGCATTAGAAGATTATTAGTTAAAACATTGAAAAATGCACCTGCATACTATTTTTCCAGCCATGAATTTTGTCATTGAGGATTTCTGAAAAATTGTGCAAAAATCTCGTCTCGTCTCGTTCTCGTGAACCCAATCTCGTGTCTAGTCTCGTCTCGTGAGATAAGCGTCTCGTCACACCCCTACTTACTAGCAAGTAATCTAATAATGACTAATATATCTGTCAGTTTCACTGGAGCTATTCATTAGATGCTACTTCACTATCCTCATTTTGCTATAAATCACCATTTTCATAGTAGAAACTGAATAGACACTAAAATGCATTCCAATTGTTACAATTTTATTTTATCTATAAAGTAGACCCTCTGATGAGTCAATGTATACGACATAAAAAAGCGATTTAATTTAATAAATAAGTACTATTACTGGTAAAAGTACCGTACCAGCAACAATAAGAACATACTTGTCAGACATAAATGTGCAATTTGTTACTAAGCAATTAAGTTCCTTTTCATCATCGAGTAGCAAAGGAAGGATCTAGTGAACAACAGTTACTAGCGAAACTGAGATAATATTAGTCATAAATCACTATTGGACTACTTTTTTCTTTTCTTTTTTTAAATATAAAAAACAGATAGGCCTACGGTTTAATCTTAAGGAATAGGCTACATGTTAAATTGGCTTGCCACAAGTGAGCGTGTTTAGCTGTAGCTCTTCCACCTGCTCTGAATGATGGTGCTTTACAAAGTAAAATCACTGAAAACACCACGAGCCTTTTATTAAACCGCTCCAAAGTTACCATATCTTACTTAAACTGGCTGAAAACAATATGTAGTCGCAAAAAAAAAAAAAAAAAAACACAACACCGCTCGCCATTTAAAATCTACTGAACCAAACAGAGAATCAACTTTGCGCTTCTAGTTTGGAAACACCAGCTCAGGGGTTTAACAACAGCATATCTCACCTTGTTGTAGTTGTAGTATCCCAGGCAGTGGGAAAAATCCAGGTTCTGTGGATCTCCAGGAATAGAATTCCCTCCGGCAGACGGATAAAATACATCCATGTTTCCTCTCTGCGAAGCGCTGCTCTATCAAAAGGGCGCAATTTTTTACTTGTCCTTCAACAATCCTGACGCGATGAATGAGAGGGACGCGGTGAGCAACGCGGGTTTAATGCAGCCCACGGGAGACAGAGAAAGGGTAAAAGGGATATTTTAGTAATCCTCTTCTATAAGCAGTGGTCGCTGGCCATAGTTTTGGGATGTTGAGGAAGGTTTGGCGATGTTCAAACTGCTCCTGCGCCGCGAGGTTCAAGCATGCTTGGAGAAGAGCAACACAAAGAAAGCCGGCAAACAGCAACTCCGTTACAATGTTCTCCGCTCAGATACACATTCACGGATACACTCAGATGCTGGATTTGAACACAATGTTGTTCCCGCTCTCAGTGTTTCAAATACACCTCCATCAATCCACACTTTGCGTTTCAAATTAAGCGCTGCCGGTCAGTCGGGAGATCTGAACACACTTTAACCTCTCAAAGCTTGGCTAATTAAACGAAATTAAGCCCTCCAGACACATGGATAATACTGTCCGATGGCACCGTTAGTCCAAAAAACTTGGGAAGCGGTGTTTACATATTCATTACAGCGCTTGAGGGACTCTGAACAGCCAATGGTTTTCTGTTTACTTCAGCCAACATCAAGCTGTGTTGGAGGAGTATGTATGGGAGAGAGTGGGGCTCATTGCGACCACTCCCCGAACACCCATCGCCACTCCCCTAGAAGCCCCAGAAAGAAAAGCCCAGGCGTACATTACATGGATGTTCATTACATGGATGGACAAGAAACACTATATTAAATTCATAATCAGAATAATCAATAATGTAAACTCATAATCAATCATAAAAAGTAACACCTGCCACTGCGTGTTCTTTGTAAACTTATATTTAAATGTTTTATAAGCATACAATTATACATATATATATATATATATATATATATATATAGGCTACATATACTGTCAAATCTATTAATCGTGATTAATCCCATCTAACATAAAAGTTTTTGTTTATATAGGCTATATTGCAGGCTACATTATGTGTAAACACTGTAACACACACACACATACATATACACAAACATATTATATAACCAAAAACCTAAGTTAGATGTGATTAATGATTAATCAATCTGACAGCACTAATATATACAGTATATATATATATATATATATATGAGAGACCATCTCATGCTCACTGTCTGTTGAGTTTTTAGTCCTAAAACATAGAAGAATTTTCATTTTGAGGCAATGGGATTGTGATTAGTAAAATAGAGTAACCTTTACCTGAAGAGACTTTCATGTTTGTCTAATTAACCACATACATTATTTTTTTCATTTCAGAAAAATGCTATTCTAAAAACCCATTCCCGAGAGAACTCATGGTGAATTGGCCTTCTGATTTGACAAATTGACATCATGGCTGTACAGTTCTATTAAATATTTTCTCTTTGTTTAAAGCAGCGTTCATGATGATCTTCATTTCCATTAGCTCATCCTCATTCTAAGCACCGACTCCAAAACTCAACATCACAAAATCTCTTGTAAATCCCAAAATAACAGGAAATTAAACACTAACAAGTCTTCTCCTTTTCTCATCTTGTTCTAAAACATTAAATATGCATGCTGGGAACACGAAATCCTCTGCCCAGTTCCAGGCTCAAACGGGAACACGAAACTGCACTTTGATCTGAAGCAAGTAGTTTAATTAAACCAAAACAGAATTAGAATGAATTAGAATGATGACATAACAAAACATAATTGTATTGGGTCACATTAAATAATAAACAGTTAAGTAAAGACAACCCATATGGACCTTCTTTCAGTGCAGTTCAGCATAATTTAAAAGGGGTAGAAGGGGTTTGAACAGAATATGCTATAGGCACATTATTTGCATGTGAATAAGCAGCGTTCTTGCTCAGCTATTCTCGTGATCTTTTTATGAGTAAGCAATGCTTTATGAACAAGTAGTGTACTACATTAGTAGTGTAGTTCTTACTAAATGCAAGGTGACTGTGGGGAAATTGGAAACAGAGAGGAAGTAAAAGACCTGTCATATATTCCTGTAGCCAAATCGAACATGCTTTGTTGAAGCAGCTGTCTAGCATTCTCAATAATGACCACCAGGGGCTACAGACTATATAGACTATATACTGCAGAAAATTAGAACAGTCATCTGAATGTTTTAAAAGTTATTTGTTACTCTTTCTCATTTCACACATAAGCTGTCATTAGACTTGCTATATGGATTTACAACATTCATAAACTTATATAATGCAATGACAAAAATAAGTTATTTTTTTATGATTTAGAAATAATTCTGAGATGTTTCCATATGCAGTGCCACAACTAAAACAAAAATCTTTTTATTTTTGATACCTGAAAGGTTACTTTAATCTTTTTATTGAAAACGACATGCATGTATAGTGCATTATGGGCTAGAATGAGTTCTGTAACCCCATGGGTTTGAATCAGAGAACTATAGATGAAAGTAACTCCACCAGCAAAACAGAGGCTCAGCTGGAAGGTAAGTGGCAATCATGATTGCATTTGCATTCACAGTGTTCCCTTTGAAAATGTTCACTCTTGTGCAATGCATAATCCTATATTACGCAACACAACCAAATATTTAATTAAGATGAGTTTTCACATTTCAAATTATCTACAAGGCCCAAGGATTTTACAAAAGGGATAGAAATGCATGCAGTATATGCATTATATGCATATCATTCCTTCTTCTTTCTCCCTCTCAGACAGACACTCATACAATAAACATGCATGAACAGACAGACAAACACACCGGCGAGCGTGTTATCTACAGACACACACCGACGATCAGATAAGGAGGGTGTTCCACATTCCACGTTGTTATTACGTTTGATACGTGTGGTGATGAATGCGCCCGATCCGATGTGTGCAGGGCCTCTTTGATTCTCTGTTATTATTTATTTGTGTGTGTAATGCTGTTTGCCCATGTAGCAGGAGGGAAACTGAATTAATTTCCTCTCTGTGGGTTTGGTGTCAGCGTGCACAGATGAATTATGCCGCACTCACACTTCATGTCATTTCCTCTATACAACCGGCAACATTGTCACCATTTGGTAACCTGAAAACAAATTATCCCACTCTGGCACAAGTTCAAATTCAATTATAGCAGCCCACAGTAATTATGTGGAGGTATAAAAGAATAATAAATGCAAAATAATTAATTAACCTAATAATCTTTATTTATGTGCCCCTCATATTAAGCCTGTGATCTCTCCATTGTGGCGGTGTGCTCTAAATTAGACTGAACAGCTGTGGATGTAGAAGAAGAGGCATCAGTGGCATCAATAATATTAAATTCTCCTGTGCTTATTATAAAACAAGGCCAAAGACTTCACATAATGCAAATCTTTTAGCTGTATTTTTATAGGCCAACCTAATATGATGAGATAATTACACCTTTCACAATATAGTTACAAAGTCAATCATGTACTGTATATTGCCTTATGATTTATCTTATAGCAGCCTACACAACCTTTTGCATTTGTTAAAAATGACTCTTGTCATCTGGGCCTCGGACCTGTGACCCACAGCATTACTTTTCCACCCAGAGCTCCAAATTATTCTCTGCTATGAATCTAAAGAAGAGCGTCTTCTGCTGTGACCTTGGCAAACTGACAAATCAGCTTTGCTCCACTGTGTATAGAACAGATACTCAAGATTCAGCCACAGTCTTCTTAGAGATCAAGCTTATTTCCAATTATACATGGATTCATATCAGTAATATTCTCAGGTTGTTGGGTCTGTGCAATTGGCTTGGCCTTCAATCTTCATTATCAGACACTGAGGTCTTTGATCTCTCTTCCCTTTGTAATGCAATAAAGTCGAATTGTCATTGAACAAAGTGTTGTTCGGCTGGTGTCACATGTCCAAAAGCCCTTCAGAAAAAGAGTCTGATACATTTCCTATCATCAATGCAGTCATATAACCAAAGGCAGGGTCTAAAATATTTACCATGTTTATTTTATAAGGGCACACCGCAGAGTTGAGTAAGAATCTAAAAAGGTAACTGAATATTAAATGATGTATCTCCCATGTCACTGAGATCACTGATGTGCTTGGGTGTAGCTGATTTGTGAGTGTTTCTATTTCTAAACTGATGCATTTGAATATTACAGTTTTTCTCAATCGCTTTGGCTAAATTCTCGAATGAACAATTAGATTCTTGTTTACATCAGATTTGAATTTCTTATTGATTTAAGCAGATTGCATGTGTTTTGGCACATGTGCGCATAAGAGTAAGTATATTGTCTACTACAATTTGCACAATAACTAAATGCACTTGTTTATCACAACTGATCAGTTGATTCTCAGTGAACTGTTCGTAACTTCTAAACATTCTTTCATCAAGCCATCATCACATGAAAATGATGCATTTAGTTATCAAAATCTGCCAGACATGCATGTATATTCCTTAAAAATCTGACACTGAATGTTTGTAATGTCTGTTAACCTCTTAAGTGTCACCCCCTCTTTTTTGAATAAACATGAAAATGCACAATCCGAACTTAAATGGTTGTAATTCAAGAATGCTATAGAATATAGATGTAAGATTGGTCTTGTTTTAAAGAAGACATTTGGTTGATTTTTGTAGAAGTTAAATAAATTAAGAAAGTGAAACAGAAAAAAGGTTATAGAAGTTTGAGTTTATGAAAATGTAAAATGTAAAAATTTAATTATTCATATTTTATATAAAATATATTTTTTCAAAACCTGGTGGACTCTAAAACTGCAAGAAAATCAAAGCCAAAACTCTGAACAAGTTGTGTTTCAAATTTTAGGTTGATATCTCAAAAAAATGAGCTTTCAGTAAGATTTTGTTTGGGCGCAGTACCAAACTTTTTCACTAGGTCACAACCAGACTCCATTACTGCCCATATAAGGTCGCCTCCATTTCCATATGTGTTTTGAGTGATCTGAACCATTATTTCCACAATTTTCATACACTTTATGAAGTAGGCATCCTATCCAGAAGTAGTAAGGGAAGTTTGTAAGTATTTTGATATGAATTCAACCTCTAATAATCACATAAAAAGAATACGCATGTGAGTTATAGCCCGCTGCCACATCACAAATGGTGAATCTTTAATTTTTTTCTTTATATTTAAAACATTTTCAGACCTTTAAAAAAAAAAAAAAAAAATTAATGGATGTTATCTTTTGAACTATTGGCATGAAAACAAACAGAGTCGCCAGAGTGTGTATGTGAAGTTTTAGCTCAAAATACCCCACAGATATTTTTATATAGCATGTTAAAATTGTCACTTTTTGAGGGTGAGTAAAAACGCACAGTTTTTGTGTCTGTCCCTTTAAATGCAAATGAGCTGCTGCTCCCGGCACAGAGGGTGGAGCTTCAACAGCTTGTGTCCTTTTACCTCACACCGACATGCACTGAAAATTTCTAAAACTTTTAGCCTTTTATGTTCAAACCGGAGTCAGACAATTATGGAGAGACTCAAGAAGAAGTGACAACATGTAGAATGCAACAGGACATTTCTGAATGGTTATTTGATGAATTTATGTAGCTTATGTGTAGTTATCTTCTAGTCATTGATTAGCATATTCTGTCATGATAATCTGTAAATAGCATTCCCAGGGGCGGGGTTTATGTAATTTTTAGG